CGGGCGGGCGGGGGCACTGAAGTGTGGGTCACGCCCGAGCAACACGCGCGAACCCTAACGGGCGGGTCGGGTGGGACAGGCGGTCCCTAACAGGCGGGTTGGGTCGGGTCAGGTCGGGCGGTTCCTAACGGGCGGGTCGGGTCTGGCAGGCGGAACACTAAAGTATGGGGGCGCGGTCGAGTGGGCACGCGTGAACCCTAACGGGCGGGTCCGCTCGGGAGCGCGGACCCTAACGGGCGAGACGGGTCGGGTGGGGTCGGGCGGACCCTAACACGCGGGTCTGGTCAGGCAGGCCCTAACACGCGGGTCTGGTCTGGCGGGCGGACCCTAACAAGCGGGTCGGGTCGGGCGGGTGGGACACTGAAGTGTGAGGCACGCCGGAACGCAGCACGCGTGAACCCTAACGGGCGGGTCGGGTCGGGCGGGCGGACCCTAACGGGACGGGTCGGGTCGGGTCGGGCGGACCCTAACGGGCGGGTCGGGTCGGGCGGGCGGGACACTAAAGTGTTGGGCGCGCCGGCACGAGCACGCGTGAACTTTAACGGGCGGGTCGGGTCGGGCAAGCGGACCCTAACGGGCGGGACGGGTCGGGTCGGGTCGGGCGGACCCTAACGGGCGGGTCGGGTCGGGCGGGCGGGACACTAAAGTGTGGGGGCGCGCTCGAGTGGGCACGCCTGGGCCCTAACGGGCGGGTCGGGTCGGGCAAGCGGACCCTAACGGGCGGGACGGGTCGGGTGGGGTCGGGCGGACCCTAACAGGCGGGTCGGGTCGGGCGAGCGGGGCACTGAAGTGTGGGGCACGCTGGAGCGAGCACGCGTGAACTTTAACGGGCAGGTCGGATCGGGTCGGGCGGACACTGACGGGCGGGATGGGTCGGGTCGGGCGGGCGGGACACTGAAGTGTGGGGCGCGCTCGAGTGAACACGCGTGAACCCTAACGGGCGGGTCGGGTCGGGCAAGCGGACCCTAACGGGCGGGACGGGTCGGGTCGGGTCGGGCGGACCCTATCACGCCGGTCGGGTCGGGCGGGCGGGACACTAAAGTGTGGGGCGCGCTCGACTCAACACGCGCGAACCCTAACGGGCGGGTCGGGTCGGGCGGGCGGACCCTGACGGGCGGGACTACTACGACGACAACGACCACGACGAGGACGATGGCAATGACGGCGACCAGGAGGACGACGACGACAGCGACAACGGCGAGCACGGCGACGACGACAGCGGCTAAGACAACGACGACGACCACCACCACGACAATATCACAACGACGACGACGACCACCTCGTTGTTGTAGTGGCCGTCGTCGTCGTCGACGACGACGACGACGGCCACTACGACAACGAGGAGGACGACGACTACTACGACGACGACTTCCCGTCCTCCCGTTCCCCTCCTGGTCGCCCTCCTCCGTTCCCCTCACGGTCTTGTCTTTCCTGTCCTCCTCCGGCCCGCGGCCCTCTCCCGGGATCCATGTCCGTCGCCCGCGCTCCTGATGGACGCGGGAATCCAGGTAAAAACGAGCCCAGGCGACAGCCAATCCAGGCGACAGCCAACCCGGGCGAAAGACAACGCGGGCGAAAGCCAACCCGGGCGACAGCCAACCCGGGCGAAAGCCAACCTTGGCGAAAGCCAACCTGGGCGAAAGCCAACCGGGTGAAAACCAACCCGGGCGAAAGCCAACCCGGGCGAAAACCAACCCGGGCGAAACGAACTGGGCGAAACGCACCGGGCGAAAACCAACCCGGGCGAAAAACATCTACGCCCTTGAGGCCTCCTGGGGGCGCCATTGGAGCCGTTTGGGGAGCTCTGAGGAGCCTATCGGGGGCCTCCTTGGGCCTCTTGGAGTTCTGCTGGATCCTCTTTGGGACATCTGTAAGGGGCCTGTATGGGTCCTCTTCGCCTTCGCAAGCCGTCTTGGGGCTCGCTTGAGGACCGTGTTCGAGGTTTGAGGGGCCGTCTTGGTAAACCTCTTGAGCTGTCTTGGGGCCCTCTTGGGCAGTCTTGCGGGCCTCTTGGCGACCTCTCGGCCCGTGTTGGGGCGATCTTGGGGACAATGGGCCCGCCTGGGAGCGTCGGAAGCTAGAAAAAGCGAGAACGCTAAAATCATTGGAAAACCGTAAGACGATCATTGGTGTTGGCCTCCTGGAGGTCCTCTGGGGGCCTGTTGGGGACTCTCCTAGGGGCCCCTTGGTCTTCGGAAGCCGTCTTGGGCTCTCCCTGGGCGGTCGTGGGTCATCATTTGGGCGCTTAAGGGCCATTTTGGAAGTCTCTGGGGCCGTCTTGGAGGCCTCTTGGGCTGTCGTGGAGCCCTCTTGGGCCGTCTTGCGGGACTGTTGGCGGGCTTTTTGGGCCGTCTTGATCCGTATGACAATCAATGATTTTGGCTTGGTCTCCTGGAGGTCTTCCTGTGGCCTCTAAGAAATCTCTTGGAGATCTTTTGGGGGCCTCTTGGCTTTCAAAGCCGTCTTGGGCCCTCCCTGGGCAATCGTGGGTCCTTATTGGGGCGCTTTGGGGCCGTCTTGAAGTCTCGGGAGCCGTCTTGGGGCCGTCTTGGGGGCCTCTTGGGCTGTCGTGGGGCCCGCTTGGGCCGTCTTGGGGGCCTCGTGGTCTTGGGGCGATCTTGGAGGCCTATGGGCCCGCCTTGGAGCATCGGATGCCCGACGAGGCGAGAACACCAAAATCATTCAACAAACCTTCGGGCATGTCAGGATGTTGGCCTTCTGGAGGTCCTCCTTGGAGCCCTCGTATGGTTAGCGTCGAAGAGACCTCCTGGGCCGTCTGGAGGACATCTTGGGCCGTCGTAGGGCCACCTGGGCGCGCCCGAAGCCGCAAGTGACAGTTCTGTCCGTTTACGGCCCTCTTCGGCCGTCTGCTGCCGCCGTCCGCTGGTTTCCGCCAGCCTTCCGCCAGTGGCCGAGGCCAGATTTGGAGGGGTCCCCCCCAGACCCCCCAAGGGGAACACACAACGGGAACTCCTCCGCAAGGTCGGGGAAAGGACAGCTCTTTCCTTCCGCCGGCGGAGGCGGCCTCTTTGTGTTTCCGCCGCGTTCCGCCGCTTTTTGCCGGGGAATTGGCGACAACGCAATCGACCCCTCATGGGCGAAGCGCTTTCTGGAGGGGCCAGCAATACGCTTTTCCCGACCCCCTGTGCTTTCCCCCCCCCGCCCACATCCCCTCCTGCTCCCCTCCTCATCCTCCTCCACCTCCTGCTCCCACCTTCCCTCCCTCTCACCCTCCCTTCCTTCCTCGAGCCATATCGATCCGCGTTCTCCCGAGCCTGATGGGTGCACAGATCGGGGCTCCCGCGCCGGATCCCGGCAAACCAGGTCTCTGGCGGGCCGACGAAAAGTGCAGCCGTGAGTCGTGGCGGCGACCCTGACGACACGCCACGCCTGGCGAGCAGATAGCGTGTCGCTCCGCTCCGCGGGGCGAGAGGCTTGGGAAGCCTCGGGACGGTGAAGCCTGGGGACTGCGTCGTGGGCACCGTGTCGCGCCGGAGTACGGTGGGCAAGAACAGGCAAAGCGACACGCTAAGCCAAAGCTCCTGACCACATCTCCCCCTGAGCGTACCCCCCCTGTGATCCTCGCCGTCCACTTCGGGTCATAAATCGGGACTCCGGCGGCCTTCCGGGGCGATCCAGGCACCGCGCGAATGCTGTCGGCGAGGCGCATCTGCTAGAGAGCATCTCGGGGGAGGAAAGCCGCCGAGAACAGACGAAGACGCTCGAAAACCTTTTTCCAGCGAGCCCGCGGAGCAAGAAGAGGAGGGCGACAGGAGAAGAAGAGGAGGAGGAGGAGGAGGAGGAGGAGGAGGAAGAGGAGGAGGAGGAGGAGGAGGAGGAGGAGGAGGAGGAGGGAGGAGGCGGGGAGAAGGGGAGGAGGAGGAGGAGGAGGAGGAGGAGGAGGAGGAGGAGGAGGAGGAGGAGGAGGGAGGGGAGGAGGAGGAGAGGAGGAGGAGGAGGAGGAGGAGGAGGAGGGAGGAGGAGGAGGAGGAGGAGGAGGCGAAGGAGGAGGAGGAGGAGGATGAGGAGGAGGAGGAGGAGATAGGAAACTAGGAGGAGAGGAGAAGGAGGAGGAGGAGGAGGAGGAGGAAGGAGGAGGAGGAGGAAGAGGATGAGGAGGAGGAGGAGGAGGAGGAGGAGAGGAGGAGGGGGGGAGGGAAACGAGGAGGAG